TAAAAACACCATTTCCTTCAAACTTAAACACTGTATTCTAAACGTCAATTAAAAAAAAAAAAAAAAAGTAGTAAAGATCATACTTTTAATTAAACCAGCGGATGTTCATTGCAAAAAAGCCAAACACATGGTTCCTCATAAATAAAAAATTCAATCCTATATATTAATTTTTCTAATTAAATAATAAAGTTGATTTGACTGGTTGTAAAAGCCAATTCTAATTAACAAATTTATTAATTGGTTAAATTAATTAACACGTAGAAAATGAAAAAGAGTGGCATTGACTGTGACTGATGAATTGATCTTAATCTTCTGCCAACTATGTCGGTACACAATTGGATTGATTATTATTAATTAGTGGGATATTATTATAGGCCTTAATGTTAGCTCAAAGTCCGACCATAACCTAATTCATCTCATTTAAGGATTAACATCCAACAACTATCTACTTTCCTCGATGCTGTCGCCGGCCCTCTCAATTTATTTATTAATTTATCACACCAATCCATTTTCATTACTATGAAAATTCATAAAGATTCAAGTCAAGATTACGTAACATTTTTATATTTGTACAAAAGATGATGATTAAGGTGGTCTTTTTTGACTTAACTACTTTTTTTCACTCAAATAATAATTTAATAATTTTTTTTCACAGATTTTGAATACCATTTTATTATCTAAATTTATATTCCGACGATGAACAGAGAGTAAACTTGGTTCATACTATTGGGACTTTTAAAAAAGAGAGATCGATAAGTCTTTTGATAGTGAAATATTGAATTTTGATAGTTAAGATTAATTGGAATTTGACTTTAGAGGGACGGTTGTACAAACCGTAATAACTCGATTACCGACGATTGACATGGTCAGCGGGAATAGGATTTGAAGGGTTCTGATAAATGATAATCGAAGAAAAGAATGTTGGTGGTGTGGAGTTACAATGATACCAAAATCGAAAATAAAATATAATTTTAAATAATAAAATAATATTTTAAAAATGAATATGTGAAAAAGTGCCATTAATCCATCATTTGAGTGGGGAAAAAGTGGCTTACTCTTTCTTTTTGGATCAACATTTCAACAATCAAATCAAGGAATTTGAGCAAGTTAAATTAATTAGATTAGCTAAATTGTGGTACTAAATCAAAATATATTTAATTGACTTGTGATTTAGGAAAAAGGCCAAAAGTGAAAGGGCGCACTGACACAGTGACACTTTGGCGTTTGCAAACAATTAATATAGAAAAAAACAAGCAGAAAAAACACATCACAGCAAGACAAAACACGGTGATTGATTTGAGAAAGGTTCCCTTGTGGATGATCAAGAGGCCCACACACATGCTACTAGTTGTCTTTAGTTAATGGCACATGTAAAAATGGGTCCCAAAATGTGAGGATCTTGATGTCATCATGTACCTTAACCACATCACATGCCTCACCACCTAACATGCAAGTACATCAAATCAAATTACCTCGTTTCATTTCACATGATTACCCATTTACCCCCACTTAATTATCATTATAACAATAATTAATTAATCTTTGATTATCAATAACTTTTTAGTGATACTTCTAGAATTTAAAAGCTTCTCCAAATCTTATTCCATGCATCTTTAATTTACACTATAAAATATAATAACAATTAAAAGTATGATTAGTTAATTATCACTCACGTTAATTTNTTACCCCCACTTAATTATCATTATAACAATAATTAATTAATCTTTGGTTATCAATAACTTTTTAGTGATACTTCTAGAATTTAAAAGCTTCTCCAAATCTTATTCCATGCATCTTTAATTTACACTATAAAATATAATAACAATTAAAAGTATGATTAGTTAATTATCACTCACGGTTAATTTTATTTCATTTATCCTTAAAGAGATATTAAAGGATAAATGAAATTACCAAAAACCCTTTCAAAAATATTAAAAAAAAACCCTCAACAAATATTAAAATAAACACATTAAAAGTGTTTCTAAATTCTAAAAAATTAGTGTAACCTCTTTCCTTGTGACTAGATGACAAACCCTTTAACTATTGGAGTTAGCAATATGCAAAAGATTTTGTGTTTGAGTCGCAGAAAAGATACCTATCATATTTGTGCAATTACCTTGGATTATTGGACTTGTGGGGTGTTCCGTAACCTTAAGAATTAAACATGCTCCACCTAAAAAAAAAATTTACTATAACCCTTGCGACTTAACTATTTCTCAGGAAGAGTGAAATATAAACCTTTACATTCTATATTTATTTTTTATTTTATCTTAAACCGTTCATGCATGGAAACTAATTCTTGATATGAAATTGAATCATGGTTCCATGCATGGGGAAACAACAAAATTTAAGCAGTGAATAGAAGATATTAGTACTGAAAAAGTAAGAAACAATTAGGTAGAAGCATCGCTGTAGACATTAAACAAGCGATTTCAAATCGACTGATGGGCCTAAACCAAAAGGGTGACTGATTGTTCGGGTGTGTCCATAAACACCGAGACAATTACTTCGGAATTGAAAGCAAAGTGCTAAATGCTTTTAGGTTTAGGTAACCTGTCATTCACTTCCTTTCCTTTTTCCTTCACCCACCCTCCATCCTCCTCCTGTGTCTATTTCTTAGCAAAACCCCACACACATCTACACAATTATACATATAGGATAGGGAGCTGACATGCACAAGAAATTCCTTGTTTTTTTTTTTAAAAGTGTTAGGGCCCAAAATGTCGCTTTGTTTATATATAATATGTCATACTTGTGCCTGAAGAAATATCTTTGCATCGCTTTTGGGGACACTACTATGCACATAGATTAGAAACTTAATATGTTATGTTTCTGATACTTTGTCTTTTAGTATATCGTGGGAAAGTTTAAGAACCGCCTTTGATGAGAGATATTTGTGTTTTTGGGTGGAGTAAAATTAATAACTGTGGACTATTGTTTTACCCCCTTGGCATCTTATAAGGGATATGGAAGCCAGCAATTATATGACACAATTAGGTCCCATTTGCTATATCAATTCTAGAAATAAATTAATCCCACTAAAAATGCATTTCACATGGATGAAAATACAATAGTAAAAGTGTGCACTAGACACTTCGAGGTTGTTGTGTTGTGTTTTATTTTGTGGTAGGAAAACTTTGTTGTCAATTGGCTGAACAATGTGTTACGTATTTCAGTATATTATGTGACATCAATTGATTTAATGTACAACTATTTATATAGTTAAAGTGACAATTTAATTGCTTAATTAATTCACATTATTTCAAGTTAATAAATATTTATCAAATTGTTCTTTTGCCGTTTATTTTAAGAATAATATTACACATATAAACTGATATGTTTTAATGTGATTGAATGATCTTAAATTGTGATGGAGATTATGTGTCAAACATGCAAAATTATCACATTAGTTTATAGGAGAATGAAATAGTGTACTCAACAAGCGAACTTTAGAGAGATCAACAGAAAATGTCAACTTTGAATTCCCTCTGGGTGTAGGTACAACTGAACTGACATAAACAACATTAATTATAGGGGGCTGCCAATGTTAAACGCCATTGAAAATTGCTTTGAAAATTGCCAAACTCAACATAAAGGAGAAAGATAAAAAAATACTTTGTGTTGTTTACAGTTAAGCCTCAAATTTAGGGTTATGCATTTAAAGATTGAGTAAACTACTTTTTCCCACCCAAGGTTTGCCTTAATTGCCTTTTTCACCCAAAAAGTTTCAAAAATACCACTTTCCCCAAAGTTTATATTATGTTAATAGTCAAAATACATTTCACTTTCTTAGCCAGTGTTTGACGAGTTTCCAGGAACCAAGGTAAAAGAAGTTTTTTAGAGTAGAGGCCAGTTGGTCGAATAGTAGTGATTGATTGAATATTTGTTATCAGAATCAACCGAAAATCAACTAAAAATAAGAAACTCTAGCTTTACGATGGCCGAAAATCGGTGAGAAATTGGGTGTCAGAGTGAGAGAAGTTTTGTAGAGAGGAGACCAAAGGTTCAAATGGTGGTGATGGAGAGAGTTTCGCTGTCGGAATCAGCTTTGGGTAGTAACGAAATATTAACTTTGGGTAAAAAAATAGTATTTTGAAACTTTTTGAGTGAAAAGTTATTAAGGCAAACCTTGGATGGGAAAAAGTCGTTTACGCTTTAAAGATTTGGTGAAGTGATGTAGCAATCAGCAGTGGCACCTGAATTTAAATGAATTGGGTGTGGTCTTTAATTCCAAAGGGTTTGACAGTTAATTTACCAAAATCAAAAGTTAAATGACTTGTTAACACTTGGCGTGAACGTTTTGCACTAACATTTTACTTCTTTTTAGTATCAGAGACAGTGATTACTGATTTGGGTGTTCCCTTTTTTATAAGAAAACAAAAAACTTCGAAATCAACTTATAACATTAAATTTGACTATCCTTGTTCATTATGTTGTATCTTTTCCAAAATAATAATAATAATAAAAAATTCCTTTAATTCTATATTAATGTTCAATTTTATTTTTTCAAATTTATTAATTACAATCTGAATTTTAAAAAAAATATTTTAACCTTTTTTTTTTTTTTTTCTGCGAAAGGCAAGGGTTCATGACTTGAATTGGCCACGGTACAGCTTGGAGGCGTGACTGAAGACCGAGTTTGGCCCATTTTCAATTTGGGCCCAACCAGAGTTTCTCTATGTTCATGGTTTCAGGCTTTCAGGTAAGAGTTTGGACAGTTTCTCTATATTCAATGGTTTCAGACTTTCAGGTAAGTGTTTGATTTTGCAACGGTTATATATATATATGCATGCTAAAATGATTAAAAAAATAAAAATATATTAATGTAGTTATTTAAAAAAATTGATATCATCAAAATTTTATTCCGATTAATTAATTTATAATATAAAAACTAAAGTAAATTTTACATAAAAAAATGAAAGAAAAAGAAAACACATAGTGAAATTCAAGTCTTGGTCTTATTTATTATTTATAATATCAGAACTACAATATCCAAAATCTAAGTCATAAAAATGCTTTCCCGCATTTACTCCACACAATCAGCTACATTCTTTTAGTAGTAACACTAACACACCCTTATAACTTCAAAAATTCAACAACAATTAATAATCTCACACAATAAAAAAAAAAAAAAAATGAAAAATAACAAATTGATGTTAACTCAAATATCAATCTCACATTCAGTTCTCTCGAAATTCTTTGATGAAGAAAAGTGAATCGTCACCGGCGAACATATAATTCTCATAGTACGATGATCCGACTTCCATAATCCAACCTTGAATCGAATCTTTGCCTTGAGACGAACGTCTAAGTCAATTTCCCCCTTGGATTTGTCACGCCTCAAATCATTAGAAATGGATTTGGGTAGAGCGATGTTTTGAGCTACAAGATTCGCCTCTAGATGAGTCACATTCCGGGTGGGCTGGTGGAAGGGCTCCAGCGTGGTGAAGGCAATGTTTTGATTCTCATACTCTGCTGAAACTTCAATGCTGTCGTAGTAAATGGAGGCTCGTCCATTCGGGTTATATGCCCTTATGGTGAAATCAAACGTGGAATTGAGGCGGCTGTTGCCGGTGAGGTTGTAGTTGTGGATTGAGGCATCTTCAATGGTGTAAACAAGTTGCTTAGGCTTCACTATCCACCAAATGATGAGCACCGCTACACCCACAATCACGATTATAGAGAGCAAGAAAATGGCAATGTAGCGAAACAGTTCTTTGCGTGGTGGGTGGCCGGGGGGCGGCTGTGTCGTGACGCTATTATTAGCCATTGTGTTCAAGATTTTGTGGGAAGGCCTATTGTAACGATCAAGTAAATATAAGAGAATGTTTTGGGTGAGCCCTTTATTCTCTATTGTCACCATCTTTCTCGTTGTCATTCAACACTTTTTTACTTTAACATTTCTTGTATGAAACTCAAGATATCTCAGAGATTCTGGTTCCATGGTTCCTATACTAACTTTTTGGTGAAGTTATTATACAAAATCTCTAATATTGGGCTATGTTGATATCTGCCGCTTTAAACCGAAGGTATCAATGATCATCTGGTGGAGTCAGACCGAATCAGAAGACCTTTAAAGTTGATTATGCTCATAATCCCTCTAGTGCAAGTAACTTGGAGAAAAGCAATACATATATACAGAGTATATTGTTACTAAAGTGCAAAAGAATTCATATTTTTTTCTACTTGATGGTTCTTGCTTTGCCTCCAAGGCATTCCATAATGGCTTTATAAACTCTTGTCCCTTCTCTTTTTCTTGGTTGGGATTGCTGAACAAAACATATTTCTCAGTTTGTATTACTACTACTGAAGGCATCAATATTTATTTATTATTTGGTTGTGCCTGTTAAAATAGATGAAATTCTGCGTTTTTAATCTCAATCTCATCATCAAATGCATGCGGTCACCAAGAAACTATTGTGGCAGACGAGGGCTCTGTTTTGGTAGTGACATAGGATGGGAAAGAAAGCAACGGTCAATAAGCTGAAATTTGGGCTTTTTCTTAAGATAAAGAATGGATGTCTCAACTCAAATGAGAAAGTAGATAGACAGAAAGGAAAAGGTATCCATGAACTCACACTCCATGTTCAAGGAGAGGGCCAGAGGATGCCTATGCTAAATGGGCTTAAACAATGGTCTAGTTCAAATATGCTTTGTGTATATGAGAAGTACTAAATATTAAAACCCAAGGAGTTGGTCTGAATTTACTCCCTTCCCTTGACCTTTTAAGTTTGAACCTTGGATAGTTTATCACCTTACCTAGAACATTAAGCTTGTAAAGTATTTTATAGACCCTGAACATTAGTTGAAGTGTACGTAAAATTAATCTAGATATCCTGATAAAAAAATAAAAAAAATAAAAAGTAATAAATATTGGACTAACTAATGAGTTTTGATTTGGAGAAATGCTAGGCTTACAAAGAAGAATACAAAGATAAACATACAAAGATAAATCCTACCCTTAATCTTCATGATTGTCTTTCTCTCTCTCTCTTTTCCCTTCTTTTAAGGGTATAATTTATCTTTGTATGTTTGTCTTTGTATTCTTCTTTGTAAGAGTAGCATTTCTCTTTGATTTGATGCAGCATCTAACCATTTTAATAAGTATAATACTATACAAACAACATTTTTATACAATATTTCTCATACTAACGTTAATATTATGTTGTAAAAAATAATTGGGTAAAAATTTATTTTTAATTTAAAATCAACTAATCATATTTTGACATATAATATTGTATAAAAATATTGTATGTATAGTATTTATTTTTTAATAATAATCTTCATTTAAACCCGCCCGGACAATCTTTTCATGCAAGTTTGAACTTTAAGGAATCAAGCTGGTGTTTTCTTCCATGATTCCTGCTTCTCCCTGAAGTAATGCAAAGGAAACCCACCCACTCGCATATATAACATTAACTTAAGTAATTAAATTAACCAAGGCTTATCTCCAGATTATTCATGACATAAGTTGCACGGTGACGACTCTACCATAAAAGGAGATTTAGTGACTTCTGATTGCTGAATCCATTAAATTAAAATTAGGTATGATTTTTTTTTATAACCTTATATGATGACTTTCACATGACCCATCAATATCTCTTGTATTTATTTTATTAATGCATTACGCCATCAGTGGCTCCAAACTAATACAAAATCAAGCATTTTCTTTACAAAATCAGAACAGTGAAAGCCAGTGCTTTAGATAGATAAAAAAAAAAATCATTCGAGACAAAGACAAACACACAGCTAATTAACCAATATATTATATATATACCACCAACTATATGTCTATCGAATAAGTTGACATCATTTCTTGTGTTAAGGCTAGCTATATATTTAAGCCTCTATCTATCTAAACTAAAGGCATTAAATTGTTGGCTGTGTTGGGGCAAGGTATTGATTCAGTGGGGTACGTGTTAAACTAATTAGCACAAAGTAAAGGTTGAGAAAAGACATAACTTGGCTTCTCTTGAACAGTCCAATAACAATGGCTAAACAGAATTAACAAGAGAAATATAGAAGGTTTGGATTAAACTAGGTAAAGGGCAGTGGGTGTGGGGTTCACATTAGAGTACTTGTAATAAATATAAAAGAAAAGAAGTAGTTTAATTCGAAAATTAATATATAAATAAATAAAGGTGTAGTGTGGGGAATAATGTGGAGCAATGAGAGGTGGTCGCCGCATATACCCTGGAAGATGCCATCTTTTTACAAACCCATAGGAGAAGCCACTCACCCTGTCTTCTTTTATATAACCTTCCTATCTCTTACTCTCTTCCTCATCTCATTTTTTTCTACTTATATACACATTCAAGGCTGCTATGTATAGCATCAATATTCTTAGTACGTACTAGTAGCGGCGCCACCCCCACCATGGCACCAAATGCCTTGGTGGGTCGGTTTGGTGTGGTGGTGGAGGTGGCTCAAGCTCAAATTATCATCATCAACTTTTGGATTCGTTTTAATGGGAGAAATGGGATTGGTTAAGTTTCTATTTCTTCTCTTGAAGAAGAAGAAGACCTAATTAATCTGGTTTCTCTCTCAGGGCAACTTCAATCCTTTGGCATTTTCATCACTTTCCTAGCCTAGAATCTCTCTTGAAACGTTGTTTACTATCTCTGCATCGTAACTGCAAGAAAGATTCAATTTCCCCTCTCTCTCTCTCTTCTCTTTTATTTATTAATGTTAGCATGAATGAATAATGAAGAGCAGCCTGTAGCGCTTATGTTTTGATTTGAGTTTCTGATATGTATCAGAAGTTGGCATGCAGCCTGCAATAATCCTTAGATTTGATGTCTTGAGTTTTGATTTGAGTTTTTTTTAGTTTCTTTAATGTTATTTACTTGAGAGATCGTTGCGGCAATCCCTTGCTTCAAAGTCTTGGAGAGTTAATTTCTTCATCCAAACATCATGCATAAAACCAATATATTAGGAGAGTATGGACATTAATTCAAGCTCAAGGAAGCTATACAAATGAAATCTTGATGAATTACATGAAAGAAATCGGAAAAAAGGAATATTATTTTGGGTTGTGTTATATTAGTGAATCTCATGAAGCATGAACAATTTAATTGTTAGATGATGCCAACTTTCACAATCCTAAATAGTTTGTAACATTAGTTGTATTATAACCGTCGATTATGTTAAATCATCTCTCCTATATTAAAGCTAACTCATTTTCTTTCTTAATTCAGTGTTGAAACTCAATATTCAGAGCACTAATATTGTCATCCCCTCGATGTATATCCTCACATAGAAACCGAATTCGACTAAGGGAAGAAGATTGAAAAATAGTTTTTGGATCCGTCGCTCTAATCAAGATTAATTATGAGATGTAGTTAATTATTAGAGTAAACAACTTTTTCCCACACAAACAATGGCTTAATGACATTTTCTCTTTCACATACTTTTAAAATACCACTTCACTATTTAAATTTATATGCTGTTTCTGATTCTAGTATTGTTACGACCCTACACCACCACAATTCTCTTTATTGATTATCACTCATCAAAACGTCTTAAACCCTACTCTCGCCGAGCCCGCCAATCGCCAACAATCGAGCGATTAGAGTTTGCGTAGTCACCCCTCCCAAGTCAAATTTCAATCAATCCAACCTTTCACCATCCAACGACTCATCAGTCGCCTCTTTCCAAAAACCTTAATAGCTTGGATCGAGTTTGCTCTCAGTTCGTTGTCGGAATATAAATTTGAATAGTAAAATGATATTTTAAAAGTTTATAGGTGAAAAAATGTCATTAAACCATTATTTAGGTGGAAAAAAGTCATTAACTCTTAATTATTATTATCAAATTGTACTATTATTAAATTTACCCCAATTTTAGGGTAAATTTTCCGAGTTGCTTAGAATGATTTGATTTAAAGAATGTTTTCATTCAAAGGAATGACATAAATATAGGACATGTGCTTAATTTTATATTTTAGTGCTACTTACATGTTTTGATTCGAAATGTGCAGACAAAGCATGGTGGGTTACAATTTTTGCTCAGAAACCAAGAATATTCCGCATCTGTTCATAGAATTTTTCTCATATATGTGATGATATTAAATAATATGGGCCACGACCACAATAATACATTTTATCCAATATTAAACTGACGATATTAAAGATGTTGTTGTTGTGACTACGGAGCCAAGTTCAATCCAAATTAGAGTTGGATTAAGACATATGAGTTTTTCTAGTTTATATTTAAGTAAAATTATTTTCTTTTAAGAATATAATTAGAAATAAAATTATAATTGTATTAGGACTTAAAATATAATTCATATTAAGATATGAGATTTGAATTCTATTAGGAATTGTGTCTCATGTATGACCTATAAAAAAAGGGCTAAGTTCTAGAGTTAGAGAACACAAAAATTGAATAGAAGGCAAAATCACAATCAGAGTGAGAGCTACCAAATAGAGTTTAGTGAGTGGGCCAATTTGTGAGGTTTGAGAGATTCTTGTAATTTTTCTTCTTCTTCATAGTGAAATTCCGTAGTGGCAAAGTGGACGTACCTCTCATATAAAAAGTGAACTACTATAAATCTTGTGTTTGTGTTTGTGGTTATTTTGTGTCATTTGTTCCCATTATTTTTCGCTTTCAGGGATTTAAGATTTACTAGTATTCAATTAAATTCCCCCAACAACTGGTATCAAAGCTAGGTTCAAAGAAGAAAGCGATGGTTGGAGAAGAAGGAGGATCTGGACCTGGGATCAACAAGTTTGATGGAACATATTATGCATTCTGGAAGATGTAAATTGAAGATCATCTATATGGCAGAAAATTACATCTACCTCTCTTAAGAGAAAAACCTAAAAAGATGTCAGATGAAGATTGGACACTCCTTGATA